CCAGCATGAGCTTTAAGTCACCAGGTCTGGGATTCAAACCATGGTCAACTATATTAAAGTCCAGTGACATAACCATTACACTATCTGCTGGTCCTTCCCAACATGTTTTTCAAGCCACTGGACCCAGGATTAGAATATCAATTGGTTATGTGGACGCTCACTCCTGATGCACGGAACTTAACCACTGCACTTCAGGGCCAATCCCATAACCTATTTTAAAATAAATGTTCTATAGGGCATGTATACTTGTCAGACAGAAAGAGAAAGAGAGAGAGAGCATGGACTCCCTCCCTGGGTGGGTGGCCATGCATCAGTCACTTCTTTTCCATTCTCCTCTCAGAATTTTGGCATGCATGCACTTGCACCTCATACATTTCTCAAGTCTCCAACTCTGAGAATCAAATTGTGCTGTCAGCCACATGGGATTCAACCATTCCAACCATCAGGCCACTGACTGGCCCCATAAACTTTTTTTTTTTTTTTGGAGAGATTTTTGCTATAGGGTGCGTGCACTCGCCAGACAGAGAGAGAGATAGAGACAGAAAGCGAGAAATCACCCCCCAGGGGGGATGGTCATGCCGCATTCCCTTCTCCTCCATTCTCCTCTTGGGATCTTAGGCACGCACGCACACGCACCCGGAGTGAGTTTTAAGCCACTGGGTCCGGGACGCAAACCATGGTCGACTACGTGGGAGTCCAGTGACATAGCTATTATGCTAACTGCTGGTTCCCTAAACTATTTTTTTTAACATGTAAAAATGCCTATGCTCACTGTGCTTTACAGCAGGCCTCAGTAAATTATAGGCAGTAGTAAAGCAAATTTCAGACCACTGTCTATTTGATGATATGCAAATGCTATTAAATTAGAACATGATTATATTACTGTTCTTTGGGGGGAGAACAAATTTAAACAATTCAAAATAACAGATGTAATGTTTTTTAGTGCTGAGATCTAATAATAACAAATTAAAAATGCAAAATCATGCATATATTAAATTCCATCTTGACTCCCATAGATAATAAATTCATAACATTAGACAAAGATGCAGACTGCTTATAACTTAAACGTTTCATGTTTCTATTCATATGAAAAGTGGCCAGATTTTTCTTATGGTGGGAGAACTACATAGGGCAAATCTTCAAAGCTATATTCACAATCCTGCAGAAATGACACAACTTAGCCCATGTTCTCTTACACATGGATCAATCAATGTTGCCTAATTGTAAAAAATGATTGCTTGGCTTGACATAGCGAGTTTAGACCCGATGAAATGATCTGAGGATTGCTGAGCTTTCCAGAGAAGAGATAAATAAATGATGCCAAGAGATTTCAGTCTTTTCCTCAATTCATGTCCAGTTCGTAGGAGGTATTTCTTATTTCTGGATGAGAAAATGTTATCCGGGCCATTGCTCTTCAGGGGCGGGTGGCAAGCTGTGAAGAACAAGGTTTCTTGAGACAACGTGATCGACACCTAGCGGCCGCACAAAAAACTCCCGCCTGCATTTGCTTGGCCAGCAACAAGGGATGTGGTTAAGAACAGGATCTTTGGAGGAGAGAAGAAAAATCTTAACTTTTACATCACTTTCCTCTCGCCCCAGGTGCAAGCTGCTTTGGCCATTGTTAGCTTATTTCTTTGAGCCAGGTGCATTCAGCGACTGCAGCTAATAACGTGAAGTTAATCACCTTATGCTTCATCTTTAAGCCATTTGAGACACCAAAGAATAAAAGAGAAAAAGCGGTCGAAGATTTGCTTATATTTAATCAGGTGTTTCGATCGTGAACGGTCAATAATTTAAATACATATCCTATTTTCTTTAAAATTAACTTTCTATTAAGTTTCCTTCAAGGTGTCTACCTAGTAAATGAAAATGAAAGGAAATATCTTGGGACTGGATTTTTAAAAAAATATTTAACTTAATTAAATTATTTATTTTAATTTGATGAGAGAGAGAGTAAAAAATATTTAACTTAATTAAATTATTTCTTTTAATTTGATGAGAGAGAGAGAGAGCGAGAGCGAGCAAGGAAGCAGCCAGGTCCGGGACTCAAATTGCAGTCGGCCATATAGGAGTCCAGAACCACCACGCCACCTGCCGGCCCGGTACTGAATTTTATTCTGGAATAGTACAACAATAGGAAAAAAAATGAAGACAGAAAGTTTTTCTTGGTTTATTTGTTTGTTTAACCACAGCTCCCTTAGCAGTCACTTCTGATTGGGAGAGAAAGAAAGAAGAAAGAAGGAACAGGGAGGGAGAATCTTGGTGTTTTTCTTTTTTTTCTTTTCTTTTTTTTTTTTTGCTATAGGGTGCATGAGCTCTCCAGAAAGACAGAGAGAGACAGAGAGATAGAAAGAGAGAAATCACCCCCCAGGGGGGATGGCCACGCCGCGATCCCTTCTCCTCCATTTTCCTCTCAGGATCTTTGGCACTCATGCACACGCACCCGGCATGCGTTTAAGCCACCGGGTCCAGGATTCGAACCGTGGTCGACTATATGGGAGTCCAGCGACATAGCCATTAAACGCTAACTGCTGGTCCCCAGGGAGAAAGAATCTTAAAAATGTTCCCCTTGGCTTTAGATTTAGTAAACAAGAGAATGAAAATTCCCAGATGATGCATTATTTCAAAAGCTAAGGAGGTAGTAAGTGTTCTACTAGTTGGTATTTGCTTATAAATTAGTAGAAGTACATACTAAATGGGTCCAGGGGTTTTGTGTTTTTGTTTGTTTTTGAAAAGTTATCTGTGCCTGTCTATAAACATGTGTTATTTGTGTGTTTCTGTTGAAAGAAGTCTTTTGATTCCATGGCAGAGTCATCTGATAGACCTAGACAAAGAGGTCTATTTTCACAGAGGCCTTCCTGGGTCAGGGTGTTAAAGTAACTGTTGTGTTTCCATAGCAACCTATGGATGGATTTAACTAGAAAAATACAGGGGGCCCATGAACGGATGACAGAATGATGACAATAAAGATTAGGCAAAAAAACGGCGCAGGGCAAGATACAAATATTGTAAAAAGAAATGCCTATACGCTTTGTATCACAAATTGTATTTTAAAATCAGTACTACCTAATTAAAAATAAATTAATAAAGTCAATAGAGGCAATTGATAAATAACTGTTTATTTGATCATTATGTTAGAGAATAGAAAGCTAATGTTTTATGGAGACCTGTTTGTTTGAAAACAGAAAAGGGAATAAATCAAATTGGGTAACCAGATTTGCTCAGGATGCTGCTAGAAAGATAATATTATATACTTGGCACCAAATTAAAAAGTATTTTTTTTATTGCCAGAGAGTACATGTGCTCTCCAGAGAGACAGAGAGAGAGGGAGAAATCACCCTCCCCTCCAGTTGAGCATTGTCATGCCGTAATCTCTTCATTTTTCCATCTTGTTGGGATTTGAGGCATGCACATACATGCACATAGGCTAGGGTTTGAACTGTGAATGGTCACGAGGGATCTGATTCCCTTAACCACTAGGCTATGGGACTACAAGTGGTTGCTTTTGTTGTCTTTTAATTTCCCCTCTATCCAGAAAGCCTTCCTAGACTAGGTAGGAAAAAATGGAAGTTTTAAAAACCTGTACTCGGTCCTTTCTCTGGTTATCCAAGATGTCTATTTAATTAAAAGTTAACACTCTGAATAAGAAAATAAAAAATCAGAAATTTAAACAAAATAAAAATGGATGTTGGGACCAGCAGATCGCATAATGGTTACTTTACTGGGCTCCCATGTAGTGGGTTGCAGTTTGAGTCCCAGATTTGAAGGTTTAAAACTCACACTGGGGGCATGTGTGTGCCCAAAATCCCCAAGGAGAATGGAGGAGAAGGAATTGTGGCATGTCCATCACCCTGGAGGTGGTTCCTTTCTTTCTCTCTGTCTCTCTGCCAAGAGCATGCACCCTATAGCAAAAAATCTCTCTTAGAAAAAATAAATAAACACAAAAGGATGTCTTTCTGTATACCGAGGCCCACAGTGAGTGTCTTCTCAGAATGCAGGCACTGTTGAGAATGTTTCACAGAACATTTTGTTTTATAACGTGAGGGTACCAAATAGTATCAAGACATTTGTCCATCTGATTATTTTGGGGGGAGTAGAAAGAACAGATAGGAAAGAGAAGGAAGGGAAGAAGAAAAGGAGAAGGATAGGATAAAAAAATCTTGGGACCAGCAGGCCACGTGGTGGTTAAAAACGCTGAACTCCCACGTGGCCAACTGTGGTTTGAGTCCCCGGCCTGGCGGCTTGCTTTCCCACTTTTATGCTCTCTCTCTGGTGAGTGCATGTTGCCTATAGCAGATTAAATAATAACAATCATAATCATACAAAAATAAAATTAAGTAAATAATTATTTTTTTAAAATCTTAAAAATACTTGGAATAGGAAAAAAAAATGTTTACCAAGTGCCTACCTAAAACTAGGCATAGTAATTTCTACAAGTTTTACAGTGAATATTCAAAAAAATATATATAAAGACTCTCTACATATTCTAAATGCACCAAGAAGCCTCTGAGTATAAGATTTAATATAACTGTTGTTCTAGAGATAAAACTTCTGGTAATCTTGCAGCTAAAATGGAAAAGAAATCAAAATCAAACTCAGAGCCTATTTACTTTGACTTTATATAGACATTTTCATGCTTGGGGATGGTGTTTCCAAACTGATGTAAACTTCCTAAGGTGTTATGAGACCATTTCTTCTCCCACCCCAGTACTTAGGCAAAACCTAGTATAGTACACAGAGTAGGTTCAAATAATGTTTGTTAGTGAATGAGAAGATCACTGGCAGGATTCAGTAGCTGGGGTTGTTGGAGACAGGGACATAGAGTTTGGAGAACTGACAGCCTGGAATCTAAACAAAGTCTGAGAAAAATCATAAAAAACCAGACACAAAGGCTCCTGACTTAAAGACACACAGTCTTACGTATCTCCCTAACCTATGAAGGATTATAGCATAGAAGCAAAAATAATTACCATTAACAGTAATCACTCTGAGTCATTAGGGAAATATTACATTTTTATTTAATAAACCTCATTTAATAGAAGTCAGGGAGCGAGCTAAACAACATACTTGTAGCCTATTTCCATTTGACAAGATTAAAATACTCACTTAGAAACTTTAGTCTCCTCTCATGCTAGATTTCCTGTCCATAATGCAAAATCGATGATATAATACTATAAAGCATAACCACTCCCACCTTCTTTTTTTTTTCTATTCCAGGATCTCTAGTTCCATAGTATCTCTCGTAGATACAGAAAATACGCCTTGCTTTTGTCTTTGTGATTTCTTATGCTTCCCAGTGCAGAATTTCAGTATATTCCATATATCAGACTTTCCTGTTTCGGTTACAAAACAGTACAGAATTGGATCAGCAACACAATTTAAACTTGCTAATGCAACTGTGATTCTGTATATTGCAAAAGTATGTTTCCCAGACCTTTGGTGGTCATCAAAGCTCATATCGTGTTCTAAAATGCAGCGAATCAGTAACATCACGTGAAAAGGCATAAAGCATAAGACAAAAGTCAATGTGATAGTAATAAGTAGTTTTATGATTTTCTTCTTTTCGCTGTTTTCTGTGGCTTGATTATGCTGCACAGCCTGGTAGACCTTCCGGTTGCAAATCATTATAATGATCAGAGGTACTGCAAAGCCGAAACATGTCCGAAACAAGCTGAGATTAATTTGCCATTTCTCCAAAGGATATTTGTCATAGCATAAAGTAAAATTGGACTTTTTGGCATTGCAATATTCAGTGGCTGTTTCATCTTTCCACAACATCACAGCATTGAAGATGGCTTCTAATACACAGATGGCTATGCTGACCATGAATGCAAATCTTCTTGACCTTAGAAAAGAAAACTTCAAAGGATAGGCAACTGCCAAATACCGGTCTACAGCGATGCAGGTGAGGAAGGCTGTGCTGCTATACAAGTTCATGTACATTAAGAAAGCACTTCCATTGCACAAGGCAGGAGAAAAAGTCCAGTTGTCTTTATTCCAAGTATAATCAATCCACGGAAGGAGAGTTAATGCATATAGCAAATCAGACAGTGATAAGCTGAAGAGGTAAATTCCTAGTTCATTTTCCTTCTTCACTTGTAGAAAAGACACACACAATGATCCGATGTTGGCTGGAACACTGACTATAATTACAAAGATATAAACAACAGGAAACAAATAGTGTTCCAGGTTATGCTGTTCTCCAATACAGGTGCTGTTCATTTTTCCTTTTGGGGATGGCAATTCTGTTACTTTGAAGTCAAACAGAAGAGTAAGTTTACCTTACTGTTTGTATCCAACATTGAATTATCTTTATTAAGATTTATTTTTCCGTTTTTTCTTTGTTTTCAAAAGCTCTAATTAATTCACCAATGCTTTTGAAGTACAGATAAAGATAAATTTCCCACAAACATCAATGTCTGGAAGTCAGAATCTAGACTTCTGGGAGCTAGCTCAAGCCATCAACTGAATTTAACAAATAAAGGTCCATGTGTTCATTATCCCAGAACGCTGACAAAGAACCTTCAAAGATTTTCTGGGGTGTCCCTAAGCATCCATGGAGTGTTGTCCCAGTTCGTTTTTCTTCATGAATCTAATAGAACATTGATGCAAACATGAATATACAAGGCTTTTAAAAAATAATTATTTAATTTTATTTATTATTTTATTACTTTCTAATTTTACCAGAGAGAGAGAGGGGAAGTGAGAAAGCAAGCTGCCAGATCTGGGACTTGAGCCATGGTTGGACATGTGGAAGTCCGGTGCCTCAACCTCATGGCACCTGGCATCCCCAATACATAAGGCTTTATTTTCAGAGACTGACATCTTTTTAAAAGATACCTTGTTTCTGTAATAAAAGATGAACCAGAATAGTTTAGATGGTTAAAAGATACATAATTTCATCATGATCATGATTTTGAAACAACATTTTGATTTCATTATTGAAGATAATGAAAATGCATTAAATTACAATAAAGGTATTTAAAAATAGGAACATAATTTAATTATCTGACTTAAATAAATAAAATCAGGTTGAGATATTTCATATAAGAATTACTCAAAAGGCTCAGCTGTGGTTGTGCTAAGACACTGCTACTTGGACGCTGAGGCCTCATGGGATGTGTAGTTTAGGTTCCCAGACCAACCTAAACAGGCTGGACACAGTGGTACACACCTGTGGTCCTACTTAACCGAGAGGCTGGGGCAGGAGAATAGTGACATGTCAAGAGCTGTTAAAAATCTCTATATATTTTATTTAAATATTTTTAAAAATTACTGGAGAGATTGCTATATTAGAGGGGATTTTATTTCTCATTATACATAACAAAATTAAAGTTAAGCCATTTTAGCAGCTAAGGATAGAAAACTCAATGATTTGTTTATGATCAATAAGAGCCTTTGAGTGTATGATAAATCATATATTACACACTTTCAAATTTTTATTATACTTGGGAACCAGCAGTTAGCATAATGGCTATGTCGCTGGACTCCCACGTAGTCGACCGCGGTTTGCATCCCGGACCCGGTGGCTTAAAACTCACGCCAGGCGCATGTGCGTGCGTGCCCAAGATCCTGCAAGGAGAATGGAGGAGAAGGGATTGTGGCGTGGCCATCCCCCCTGGGGGGTGATTTCTCGATTTCTGTCTCTATGTCTCTCTCTGTCTGTCTGGCGAGCGCACGCACCCTAGAGCGAAAACCTCTCCAAAAAAATTTTTTTTTATTATACTTCTCTATATGATTTAGGTATAAGGCACTTTCAAAAATTACTTTATTAGCCTAGGAAATGTTTTCATAAGAAATATGATAAAGTTGTAGAATTTTGAAATAGAGTAACTTGCCAAAACAATACAGTTAGATAATGCTACCTCTTCTCTTTACCCTTTTGCTTCCTTTGGGGGCTAACTCACTATCATTCTTATGCTTTATAAATGAGAGGACAGGACATTCTCAATTTGGGGCATACTCTTGGGATCATCCTTCTCCACCTGTCTATCTGATTGTTTATTAGGTTTGTTTCTTTACAGAGCTATGATGTCATATATAGTAGCTAGGATTCATCCTTTTTTCCATGCTAGAGTAGAGAAATACCGTGCTCCATATTCCATTGCTAGTGAAACCCGTTGGTGTTGGATGAGTCACCTAATGGAGATCTTCACAGAAAAGCTTTAGAGGCATCTAGACCAGGCATCAGAACTTTTATTCCAAGTACTGATGAATTCTAGGCAGAAGAGATCTATCATCAGAGGGCACAGGATTTTCCTAGTAGAGTAAAACAAATCCAAGTGCATATTACATGTCACTCTTTAAATGGAGAACTAAACTCCCGAAATCTTCTCATTTGTCTACACCCAAACATGAACAAAATGTGCAAAACAGCCATTTAAGTCTCTAGGGAACCTTCTGGAGAGGAAAAACAATTGTGATAGAGAAAAAGAGCTGAGATGAGGGGAGTACATGAACAGTAAGTGAACTGGATATTCTGGAGGCATCTGTGGACCTAGAGAAATTGATTAGAGCCTCTGGATCAGAGGAACTAGGGACAACATTTGGGCCCATAAGGTGAGAAAGGCGCCTCGGCCAACCCAGGTACATTGAGATCCAGGGGCCCTATCCTCAGGGACAAGGTAAACGAGGGAGTTAAATAAATTCCACAGACGCTTTCAGACAGCAGAGAAAAACAGGCAAGTTTTCTGCTTCAGCTTGATTAATGTGAGGAACTATAACGTAAACTTTTTTTCTGAATATTCCTGGCAGGTCCTCACTTGGAAACAGAGTCTGAGTTCACACTGTTAGTCTGGCCCCACAAAATTTAGGCCAACGTATGTACTCAACTTCATTAGTCATCAGGGAAATACAAAGTACAACCACAATGAGAGACCACTTCACACCCACCAGAATAAATGAAATGAAAAAAAAAAAAATTAAGTGTTGGTGAAGATGTAGACTACCTAGACTCATACACTGTTGTTTGGAAAACTGGCACTTAAGCCTACCATGTGATTTAGAAATTCCACTTCTAGGTATGTACTCAGCACAAATACATACATATATGTGTTTACAAAAGACATGTACTAGAATCAGATGTTCACAGTGGCACCATTTGTAAAATAGCTCGACTAGAACACCTATTAGCAATAGAATAGATAAGTAAATTGGTAAATTAACACAATTGAAATCTTTACATCCATGAAAATGATAAAACATTGTTACATGCAATCACATGAGTGAAGCTTACAAACTTAGTGTTGAGTGATAGAAAAAAGACAGACACTGGGGGGAACTGGTATCCTGATGGTTGAGGTGCTAGACTCCTACTGGACTTCTACATGGACTTGACTAGTTCAAGTCCCTGACCTGGCAGCTTGCTTTCTCTCTTTCCTCTCTCTCTCTCTTTCTCTGGCGAGCACATGTGAACTACAGCAAATTAAAAAATAATAAATAAAATTAAAGAAATAATTCTTTTTAAAAAGGAAAGAAAAAGACAGACATGAACTAGTATAAATATCTGATAAAAACCAGGCAGCTAATCTATGCTGTTAGGAGCCAAAGTAGTGGTTACCTTTGGGAAGGAACTGGCATGAGGGGGACTTCTGAGATTTTGGTAACTGTTTTGATATGGGTACTGGTTCCATGAATTTTCTCAGCTTATAAAAACTTATCAAACTGTACATACAGGGGATATGTGCATTGATATGCATGTATATCGTATTATATACAAAAAGTTAAACAGTAGAATCATAAGGCTGTAGGTGATGGGATGTTAAAGCATATTGACAGACAATAACCTCTGTTTTACCTATTTGTCTTCCTAAGAAGTAATATGATTTTATTATTCCTCGTATTAAAAAATAATTCAGGGAAACAAACCAACACTATAAATACATAATTTAAATATTTATGGAAATAAATTCACCCAAAATAAGGTTTGACTATGTAAAATAAATGGATAAATAAATCCTTAGTACCTAGAAGAAGTAAACAATCCTCCCTTGAAAAAGTCTCTCTCAATCTAGGCCTCAAAGACATACACACACACACACATACACACACAAGCACACACACACAAACACACACACACACACACACACACACACACACACCTCTATGTATTAAATTGAGCCGAAACAAGAAAGCAGAGGGCCCCAAAAAAGTTTTAGAGAGAAAATTAACATTAGGTCATTGAGAAAGGCATGAATATATTTTTTTATGCAAAACTGCATCATGACTTTCCCAATGACCCAATATATCTGTAACATAAAGCAAGTGTGGTTAATATGTTTAAAGGAATAAAAGAAAGAATTTGAACACGTGAGTAAGGAGCAAAAGACTACTTAAAAATACTAGGAATATTTTTTAAATGATTGAAGTAGACTTTCCAGAAATAAAAGAACATAATAATTTAAATTTAAAATCAACACAGGGATTAACCAAATGATTAGATCCAGCTGAAGAGAGAATTAGTCTATTGCAAGATAGAGCAGAAAGAACACAAAATTATCAGATTGTAAAAGTAATGGGAAAAAACCAGGGAGACAAAAAATAAAGAGGTTTAGATTTGTATATATGGAATTCCATAAAGATAAAAAGAGAGACTAGGTCATATTTGCAAAAGTAATGATTGAGAGCTTTCTGGAATCGATGGAAAACTTGGAATTCTAAGATTCATGAAGCCTAGAAAATTCTACATTATGTTAAAAATAAACAAAAAGGAAAAGCTATATACTTAGACACATTGCAGTGAAACTGAAGATCATCAAAGACTAACAAAAAAAGAGCCAGAAGAAAGATGAACTATCTACAAAAGATGGAATTTAGATTCACAAATGACTTCTCAATGCCAGTCATGAAAATACAAGGCAGATAATTAATAGCTCTAAATTTCTAAGAAAACATGTCATCCTATAATTATATACCCAACAAAACTAATTTTCAAGGCTAAGAGCAACTATTGGGACATTTTGGATGAACTGTACTGATAAAATTAACCCCAAAAATTCTCTCAAAGAAATCTGTAGAGGATTTAACTGAAGAAGGAAAATGATATTAGAATAAAGTCTGAGATGAACAAAAGATTGAATAAGTTACTGAAAATGGAGCTGTCACATGCATGATCTCACATCTAACACGAGGCTCATACCTCGAGGGAGAACAGCTGAACCATGAAAATATTTTCTCTCAAGACAAAGACTGAGAGTTGGGTGATGGGCAGTGGACATCTCTTCCGCCTTTGTCCATATCATCCAACAAATATGCATCTTTTTGCTTAAAAAATAAGATGGATACAAAGGAAAAAATGATTTCAGGAAGCTTTATGAAGTTCTCAATAGAATTAATTTCTCTAGCTGTGAGAGTTCCCTGTCCTGACTAAAACAACCACAGGACAGAATGGCATGATGAGGCCCGATAATGGGTCTTTTCTCTGTTGAGCAATGGAGTCATGTGGGCTTGTTGTTATGACCATGGGCTCTGGAGGCAGTTTGAAAACCTTTCAATAGTCCTTGGGTGATCTGTGACCATACAGGTTTTTTCACCTAAGTGCTGATTCTCACCTGTGTAAATTAGCATCCATTTCAAAGAGTTGTTGAAATGAGACAAAGCCACATACTTAGCACATGAAACATGGCATGTGTTTTATTACACGCAGATACTGTGGCTTTGCTGGCCATAGCGGTAATCTGCTGCCATTCTTTGTGCTGTCCCCTACATTTCCTGAAAGGAGATAACTTATCTTTGCCATTGAGCCAAGGCATAGAAGAGATGCACTCAGAGTGTAACATGTCACACATAAACAAATCCAAGATCTGTTGTTCTATTAAAGTAATAGTTGTTCATTTAATTTTTGTGGTTATGAGTTTTTTTTTAAAAAAAAGGAATCCATACTTCTTATTTATTTGTATTTTCAGATACTATTTTGGCTAATTCAATAAAACTTTGGGGAAAACAGTGTTAGAACCAACACTGAGAAATTTGGATGAATTTAAACCTTTTGTTTAAATTTTTACCAAATGCCAAAAAAGACATTCTACGAAATATTAAAGTATATGCATTCTTAATCAGCTTTAAAAATAGTACAAGTCATCAACAATTACCAAAATTAAAATGTTTTCTACAATGTTATAGGACATGTTTGCTTTCATTGATTAGTCTAATAGCTACTTACAAAGACTGTCCTATGTTTCAGGAACTGACAGTCATTTCATAACAATTATAAATTGACATTTACTGGAAATAATCTTTTCTAATTTCACACTATGTTTGATGAGTATAGAATGTATTACTTAATCATAGTACTGATGAGGAAATGATGCCAGATGGCTCTACAGCCGAGAGCTTATAGAGTTCTTCCTAAACACTTAATGAAGTTTGCCAATACTCTATTTTCTGAAAATGAAATGGGGTAAAAACATACTTCTTTTCAATATTCACAGTTTTACCTAATTGTTCCTAAAGTTAAGTTTTGCCATCCCTTTACCCCTGCTCAGAATAGAGGAAACCATGTGTTTTTCTTGCTCATAATGCATTGCATCACCATATTTATACAGCCCACCCCAGATCCAATGCTGTGGAACACAGTTGACAATCACGCCTAAGTATGTTATCTACTTGCAAATCTTATTTAATTCTTTAATCTTATACTTACCCGCGTTTCTTCGGGTGATACTTTCATTGACTGAGGAGTCTAATAAATCTGCTTGCATCGAAAGAGAAACCAGCACTGTTGAGGGGAAAGGAAATTGCGCTCATTTCATCATAAACCAATGAGGAAGTAGCTTCTTAATGAGAAGAGCAGACATTCGCCAAGTTTGAACAAAATAAATCTCTTAATACTTTAAAAATATGTTTACCATTTATTATAGTGTAGTTTTCATACCTCACTTTTCTGTTGGCATCTTAATGACAAAGGTGTACTGATATTACATGTGCTTTAACTAAATAGAACATTTACAAGGATTTTTTAAAAAGGTTCATGAAAATGTGTATATGAAAAGTTATGCATGGATATCAATTTTTTTCCACCAAAATAAACTCATACTTTAATTTCAATTTTTTAAATGACCCTTTTGAAGTCTCTTCATACTAGATATTTTATCCATTTGTTCATTCATGTAGTCCATCAATATGTATGCCTATTGTATCTTTTTTATTTAGGAGGTTTTTGCTTTAGGGGATGTGCATTCACCAGAGAGAGAGAGAGATAGAGAGAGACAGAGACAGTGAGAGGGAAAATGAGAAATCACCCCCCAGGAGGGATGCCCATGTTGCAATCCCTTCTTCATTCTTCTTCTGGGATCTTGGCATGCACAGAAACACACGTGATTTTCAAACCACTGGGTCTGACACTTGAACTGCAATCAACTATATGACAGTCTAGTGACATAACTGCTGTCCCACCTGCTGTCCCCAACCTATTGTATGTTTTTAAAAGGTTTATTTATTTTGTTCATGGTCGAGAGTACATGTGCATGCATGAGAAAGAGAGAGAGAGAGAGAGAGAGAGAGAGAGAGAGAAAGAGTCACCCTTGACAGTGTCTTATGATATTGTGATCCTCCTCCTCAGCTCTCTAATTTACAGAATACTGGGGATGACCACACACCTGATATGTCTGGGGTTGACCAGGTGGGGAATCTGAACCCATGGCTGACCATGTGGTTTCTAGTACTGCAGATCAGTACACTACCTTTGTGAGCCACCAAATCTGGACTAACATAAGTCTATTTATTATATTTTTAGGGTACTGTGCTGGGCAATGCCTGCCTACTACCCCAGAAAAGCTTATTACTAAGTAAAGGAAACAGGCATGATCAATAATCACCATAATGCAATGGCAAAATGGATAAGAACTCCTAGAGAGGAACGAAGTCACTTGGATATTTGAGAAAGCAGAGAATGTTATAGTCTGTTTCAGAGAGACAGAGTTTCTGGGAATGAAACAGAGAAGAGAAAATGGGAGCTGAGTTTTAAATGATGGATGTTTTGTTGTTTAATAAAAATGACCACGGAGGCTAAGGTAGCCAACTTTGTAAATTTTTTTTCTTTTCTTTTCTTTCCTTTTTTTTTTTTTCCCTTTTTTTGAGGTACTATATGGTATTCGACATATAGAAATTTGGAGAGCAAGTTTCTCCTTTGATTCTCTTCTTGGAATAGAAGACAGAGATTGCCAAAAACCAGTTGAAGTAACTGGCTTTAAGCAAATAATTTTATAAAACTTGAAAACTTATTTGCAAGAGACATCGGTTGTTATCACAAAAAGTAAAGGGATTGGCAGGTGATATGGAGTTTGAGGTGCTGGATTCTTCTTGGTAGACTGAGAGGTTCAAGTCCCAGACTTGTTGGCTTGAAAATCACACAGGGCGTGTGTGGGACTGCCCAGAATCCCAAGAAGAGAAAGGAGGGGAGAGGATTATGGTGTGGCCATCCCCCTTGAAGGGTGATTTCTTGCTTTAACTCTCTCTCTCTCTCTCTTTCTGGCAAGTACAAATGCCTTATAGCAAAACTAAAAACAATGTCATGTAGTATTTTAATAAATTAAAAGTTAATGTCAAGGGGCCGGCAGGTGGCATGGTGGTTAGGACACTGGACTCCCACATGGCTGACCATGGTTTGAGTCCTAGACCTGGAAGCTTAATTTTTCACTCTCTCTCTCTCTCTCTTACTCTGTCCCTCTCTGGTCAAATTAAGAATAAATAAATAAATGGTTAAATAAAATAATTCTTAAAAAAGTTTTTGTCAAATCTATAAGCAGTTTAATATGAAATAAAATTAGGTCCTAGAACATTCCACTTTCTAGATATAACAACATCAGAGACATCACTTTTGAACCTTGCCCTTATAAACTTTTATTTATAATTACATAAAATTATAAAATATTATTTTGTAAGGACAAAATTAATTCAGATGAAAAATTTAATTTTAAAGACTGTAATCAGGACATTTTGAGTCTATATTTGTAAAAGGACATTAAGGGTTGCTGTTGGTGGGGTATGTGTCTACCTAGAGATGGAAAAGATTGTGTGATATAACCAAGATTTTTCATCTTGGATGGAATTAATCAGGATATATCAGGAATGTAAAGGTTTTTGATGTTTTTTGTACTTTTTTCATTGAGAATAATAATACCTTACATTTATAAAGTACCTGACTTTGTACAGCAAGTTAGCATATTATAACTTAAAAATTCAGAATCCTTTATATCAGTATTAAGGTAGTGAAAAATTTAAATATTGTGTGCAAAATTCATACTAAAAGCTTTTAATTGTTACAAAAATGAAAGTAATGATTTCAGCTCTCATAACTCTAATCCAAAATTCTCGTATTTGCTTGGGTTTGCACATTGCTTATTTGGGGTTTCCATATATGAGTATTTCATGACTCTCACACTCTAATTTTACCTACACAGATTATACTCTGCTTTTATGAAAAGGGTATTTTCATATTCATATCAAATATCTATGCATTTTGATCTTAAAAAGGGGATGTAGTTTAAAAAAATACATCAAACTTTCACTTCTCTTGTTTAAATAGGAGAAAACTGTGGTTGGCCTATGCTAAAGTTTTGCTAAATCTATGTAACAATAAGTTTACCGACTTTGAAGACATGCGTTTCTTATTTAGTTAAGAAAATACAACAACAGTGTGTTTTCAACCACAGGATTAAACAGTTGGAACTTTCAGAGCACAGAGTCAGTGTGATGTTACAACACAATGGTGAGATAAAGCCAAACAGCCGTTACTCAAAACCTTCCTGGCCAGTCAGTTTTCTGGTTTTCTGTGACCACAAACTATACACCCAACAGTGGCCAGTGGCAGCATCTGAGCCTCCCATGGGAAAAAAGGGGAAGAGAATGTGGGTCTGCTCTGTTCTAACTTCTCCATGGGGCAGGCAGTGCAAGAGCATAATCTGCTGCTGACAGGTCCTCTGTGAGATGTTGTTATGGACTGAATTGTGTCCCTTCTCAAACTTCCTATGTTGAGGTTCTAATCCTCAGTACCTCAGAATGTGATTTTATTTGGAGAGAGGGCATTTAAGAAGTAGTTAATTTAGAATAAAGACCTAAGCATGGACCCTAATCCAATCTGATTGACATACTTATAGAAAGAGGAAACTTGATAAACTAGAAAAAAATGAATTCCCAGATACATACAACTTAACCAGGACTGAATCATGGAGAAATAGAAAATCTAAACCAGCCAATAATGAGTAAGGGGATTAAATCAATAATAAAATATCTCCTATGAAAGAAATGCCCAGAACCTGTGGATGCACCAATAAATTCTACCAAATATTTAAAGAACTCTCAAATTCTTCTAAAAGTTAAAGAAGAGGAGGGAACCAGCAGTTAGCGTAATGGCTATGTCGCTGGACTCCCACGTAGTCGACCGTGGTTCGTGTCCCGGACCCGGTGGCTTAAAACTCACGCCGGGCGCGTGTGCGTGTGTGCCCAAGATCCCGAGAGGAGAATGGAGGAGAAGGGATTGCGGCGTGACCATCCCCCCTGGGGGGTGATTTCTCGCTTTCTGTCTCTATGTCTCTCTCTGTCTGTCTGGCGAGCGCACGCGCCCTACAGTGAAAAACTCTCAAAAAAAACAAAAAAAAAAAGTTAAAGAAGAGGAGAAATACTTCTAAACTCATTTAACAAGCCCAGTATTATCCTGAGAGAAAAGCCAGACAAAGACACTATGAGCAAAGATAATTACAGGCTAATTGTGGGAGGCTGTGCACCAGCGAGTCTGCTGAGGCCATTTTTCAAGAGTCTCTTACTATTGCTACCTTAGGCTCAGAGAGCAAACAATTACAAAGGCCACAATTGGCTCCCCTTCAAAAAAACCTCACCTTCAACACCACACTCTGATTGGCCACTTCACATAGCAAATCGGTGTGCTTAGAATCCCTCAGATTTGCATATCCGGGTACCTCATGATTGGTCCACAAAGCAACCAATCATAACCCACCTTTTGCTATCCTTCATTCAACCAATCACGGCCCACCAATGTGTATATCTGGACGACCCTGAAGAGTTGTGACACTGTGTCATCTCTGTGCTGCTCACAGTAGACGACGCGACCCTTAAGAGCTGTGACACTGCATTGTCTCCGTGCTGCTCACGGTAGACGATGCGACCCTTAAGAGTTGTGACACTGCGTCGTCTCTGTGCTGTACCGTGCTGACCACAATAAACGGACGACACTGTCGTCTCCATGCTGTAACACTAGGCCCCTTGTCCCGGCTCTCACTCCTTCACTCAGGAAACCTGCTCGACTGTCCCCCCGGGTCGGGACACCTGGCGCCCGAACAGGGATGGAACAGCTAATATTCTTGATGAACATAGATGTCAAAATCTTGAACAAAATATTAAGAAACTGCATCCAATAGCATATTAACAGGATCATTCACCATGATCAAGTGGATTTATTCTAGGACTGCATGAATATTTCAACATACACAAATTGATAAATATGATGCACCACATTAATAAAGGACAAAACTCATATAAGCATTTCAAAAGGTTCAGAAAAAAACATTTGAAAAAAATTCAACATCCTTTCATACAAAAAACTCTCAACAAGGAGCCAGCAGGTGGCATGGAGGTTAATGTGCTGGATTCTCCATGGCTGACTGTAGTTTGGGTTTGTATGCATGTGTAACCAAAGTCCTGAGAGGAGAATGGAGGAAAAAGGTATTGTGGAGTGGCCATTGACCCTTAGGGGATGAATTC